TTATTTAATATCTAATTTTATATAAGTGAAAATTATAATAGACTATATATTAGTACAAGTAAATTCTCTGAGTGCTCTGGCTGTTAAATAAGCAGTGCCTAGTTGGCATGGAAAAGTTAAGAGTTTCTAGAAAGTGAGAGAGCAGAGCTAAATATGAACTTGATGCTGTCACCTGGATGGGAAGAATCTCTCAGCCAGCAAGGTCATTTCATAAGTGAGGCTCTCAGTGAATTGAAGTGAAAGATGGTAGTTGGGCCAGGGCAACACGAAGAGGTTGTGAGAATAAGTTGCATAGGTATGAGACAAGCCTCACACACTTAACTTTGGATATTGGCAACAGATACATAATTGCAAATGACAAGTTTTAGTTCAAGTGCGAGGAAAACACTGTCCATTGCATGGCAGGTGGTCTGGAATACAAAAATGGACAGATAATACTTGTAGGGAAAAGTTGTAATCATTGATTAGAGAGAGTGGTATCAGGGATGGTATTGACAGAATGAAGCGTAAACAACAGTTCCAAAATAAAGTCAACAAAACACTCTGCTGTATGTCTGTTCTGGGTGTCACTCCAGAAGGATCCTCTCCCCAGCTTCCCGAGTCTCCCCACAATTCCCTCCTGCACAAGCTCTTATATGTTCCCTCTATCACAACATCCTGCTATCTCAACCCACCAACACTCTCTCCAAACCCGCTTTCTTATGGTACCGACTGCCATGACCTTACATTGGGTCAGTGCCCTCTCCCCCTCGGGCTATTTCACCTCCTTCTAAGTTATCCTAGAGGCTATCATACTGCTTTCCCTAATACATTACATCATGTCATTCTCCTGCTTAAATATTTCCAAAAGCTTAATGTTACTTTTAGGGTAAGTGGTAAACTGAATTATAAATGAACGAGATACCTTCTTCTTCAACTTCTTATGGTCATTTCAACTCCAAGAATATCAACAGATGAGAGGTGTGTTTGATCATATGATAAGGGGCTGTCTAGATTGAATTGCTAGCTGGTATGTGATTTTGATATTATGAAGCCACCCATATCCTTTTAATACATTTTAACAGAACGTCCATCTTAGAATTTTAAGATCTGGTTGACCTAAGAAACACATTCAAACGCCTCCATAATTTCGCCTAACTTATTTTGAATCTGGCTTTCTGAAACCTTCACTCAACCCTCATTGGTGAATTTATTTCCTTTCCGGACACACATCTTGTTCTTTGCTGCTTCAGATTTTTGGCTCATGTAATCCCTCCTGTGGGAATCCATGACCTCTTTATTCCTCTGCAGACTCTTAAAATTCTGAGCATCCCCCTTTGCTCTTGTGAAGTGTCCCCATATGACCTCACCCCAGAGAAACCCTTCCCTTCTCTGAAACATGCCAGCACTCACCATCTTAGCCACTCATTTGTAATTAGTCATTGGTTCTTAGTTTTTGATACTGTTGTGTTGCTGTATTCAACTACTGTTTATCACTTGCATTGTTCTATGACTATTAAAGTATTTATACTTTATCCCCCGATCTGGATTACATGCTTAAAAGCCAGGGTTTTAGCCTTTAGTTTCAGCATCATCATCATTATTATTTAGGTCCTACACCATATCTCAGACACATAAATGTTAGGCACTTAATTGACTTTTGTTAATTGACATGTTGATTGATGCATCTACAGAAAGAAAAACAAAACAACTGAAGTTCATGTGAAATAAAACTGCTTGAATTAATGAGTCCTGCATTGTACTTTTTTAAAGGTCCTAGTCCTAGCAAAATAAATACAAACACATGTATTATTCTAAATGATTAAATTATTAAATGTTCTCAGCTAGACAGGAATATCTGTATGCTTTGCTTGTAAAATTAATGATTGAAAGTCCGAGGAGACTATAGTGTTCCATGTCACTTTTCGTGACACAACTCTTATATAGACAAGCAAGAAGATGAAAGAGGAATGGGGAAGGTGAGAGGCAGAAGAAAGAGGAGTGGAAGCAAGGAGGGGAAGCAGAAGGAGAAGAGGAGAGCAAAAAAGCAAAAGGAAGGTTATGTTAAGGATTAAATCAGCAGATGAAACACTTTCTGAAAAAAGGACAAAGGATCCTGTTGCAAACTAAACAACTTTTCCTCATTTTGTTCATTGTTTCACAAAATAACAGCAACCAAAAACACAATTTCAATTTTTCTTGCATGATTTTTAGCAGATTAAAGTATATGATCCTTCTTCTTTCCTAATAGTTAGCAACAGACTGCCAAAGTTTTGTTTTTTAATTCAATGTAATTTTATAAAATCAATGTGATCCACAAAACTAAGTAGAATCGGAGTGTCTGTGCACGTAATCTTTTAAAATATTCTCACATAAGCAACGTTGCTTCAGCATTTTATAGTGCTAGGGGATAAAATGATTCAAGCAGGATAGGAAGATGGCAATGAAAGCCCAAGGTCACGAGAAAGTGATGATTGAGACCTGAGTGTCACACTAGCACCCGCACACTTCCTCTCTTTGACACAGCAGGTTATTGAATGTGGTGAAAATAAATGCCAAAGCAGTGCCATTATTTACTAGAAATCAGATGTCATGAGCTTAGCTTTTTGTTTTCTTCAGAAAAAAAAAAAAAAAGGAAGTTCAAGCTAAGTAAAACTTGGGTCAGCAGATGGTTTACATAAATATGTAGGTTAGGTATTACAGGGAAAGTCCAGCCTCCAGCAGACTACAGCTGGCAGATCTGAAGTGCTTCTTTCCTTCAAAGTGAAACCCTCCAGCAAGTGGGAAGAGTGAAAGAGCCGCAACCAAGCTGGTGCGCAGAAGCACATGCTCTGCAGTCACCTGCCTTACATGACGTCAGAAGCACGTACACAATGTTCTCCCCACTTCCTCCCACCCACAACATCTGTAAGAAACGCTTTGAAGCTTGTTTTGTTAAGCAAGTTATAAACCCTACACCACGTGAATTAAATTAATCTGAATTATTTGTAGAAAAGTCTAAAAACAACTTAGAAAAGGTTTGGGGCCATGATTGTCCTTTTCAACCACAGAATTTCACCTGTCTTGCTGATATGGCCACTTTCAGAAGATTGTATCGAATATATTGCCTCACACCAAGACCTTCTCTATCTCCCCTAACTTCATCATCCCTGTATGGGTTTTACAGGTCTGCTGGACATGCTGGCTCTGCTTCAGGTCCTCACAGGACGCTCTTGCCCATGATGGGGCCTTGATACTTGCATTACCCCTCATCCCTCTTTCTGTCAGTCTTTCATGCAGATTGGTTTCTAGTTGCTAATTGTTCCCCATCACGGGCATCACCTCAACAGTGAAGTCTTTGCAATATCACCAATACTGCTTATCTTCCAGTGTCAGTTTAGAAGTTTTTCCTTCCTTGGTCCTCCTCAAGTGTCAGAATGTGGGGGTAAGAGTGGAGTTAATAAAAGTAAGTAGAATCAGGGTAGGTCTTAGAGAGAAGATGAAGTTTGGACAAAGAGCTGGAGGGAATTAGCAGTGTTTGGCCAGCAAGTAAGAGGAATAAATTATGCAGATAGCTAAGGCAGAAGCATACAGGCAAGAGTCCAGGAACAGCAAGATGGTCATTGTGGTTGGAAGTGAGTCAGAGTAGGAGACAAAGTCCTCGTGTCAGTGCAGTGCAGCTCCAATGGAGCATTCTACCTGAGTCAAACTAGGGGCCCCTGTAGGGTTTGGAGCAGAGGCCTGAGATGAAAAGGGTAGCTGACTCTGAGCTGTAAACACACCAGAGAAGCAAGGGAAATATAAGAGCATATACACAGAACACCACTCTCCGTAGGGCCTTTGGGATACAGTTCATGTCAGCTGAGCAAATTAATATACAAATGAGTGATAGATGGAGGCTACAGAACAAGAAATACAGACAGTCCCACAAGTGCGAAGTAAAAGATGACATGCCTTCCCGTCTTCGTGAATCAGACACAGTGTAATGATGTGTGTGGATGTACGTGAGTTTCAGAAATTATGTGCATACATACCAATATTTATTGCTTGTCTTGTACATGTAAAGCACTTTGTGAAACCTAAATGTTTTTCTTTTCTTTCAGTTTACCTGAAATCCATACATATTTAAAGCATGTCTCATGATGTTTCCAGATGTTGTATAATGTTCAACTCAGTGTTACTATATCTGTGTCCTCAAACATTAGTTATTTTTTTGTGGTGAAGACATTCAGATCCTTTGCCCTAGATTTTTGGAGATATACACTACATTATCATCTTTACTCACCCGGCTATGCAATGGGAGATCAGGCCTAGTTCTCCTAACTGTAATTTAGATCCATTGCTCAATCTTTGCCCTTTCTGCCTGCCCAGCCACATTCCCCAACCTCTGGTAACCATTGCTTAAACCATTTTTAACTTTGAAAAAAAAAAAAGGCTTCCAGCAGACTCCTGCCACATGCATGGATGTATGCACAATCTTGTGTTCATAAACAGCAGCCTAGTAAGGCAACTTCCATCCATTTCATAAAAAAATATATATAGCATATTCCAATACTGCTTAGCTAAAGTGGGATTTCTCAACTCTGAATTTTTTAGAATAAGTCTGTCCTCACAAAAATAAAGGTCATAGTTTCAATTCCTATTTCTGTGTGCCACTCTTAAAAGGGGAAACAAATGTCCACAGCTACAGATTCTTTCTCAATCCTGATGAATGAGGATTTGAGGCATGACAGAGAGCTAACAAAATGCGCCTGGAGAGCCCTGCGCAAACTGAAAAGGGAGAAAAGCAAACCACAGTAGGCTGATTTATGAAAGAGAGTAGGTATTTTGCATCACACAATAGGACTTTTGCTTAAAATTAGATACTCTGAAATGTATTAAATGATTATATATGTAAAACATGTACATATATATTATACTGTTTAATAAATGTGGCATTTTTATATTTTCTCTTATTACATGTCCAAATGTCTGAGTAACTGACTATAGAAAAGATAAAGAACTAATGAAATACGATGATAAGTAGAATTGAAAAAACTCACCTTTGGCAATCTCAAAGGTAATTTGCAAATTGGCAACTGGACATGATTTTCATCAAGAATACAAGATGAATCCAAGTCACGTGCTAGATTTTCCTTCGGTACTTTAAAAACGACAAGGGTGCCCTTGTAATGTGGGCAGCTATAGTTTCCAAATTCATCCACCTCTTTGATTTGGAGTTCCAGCCTGAGTTTTCTTTGAAAGTGAAAAGTGAGCCTATAGTCTTTTCCATAGTCCTTTCCATTGCCTAAAACACACAATAAAATCCATCTGTGACCAATTAGATCATTATGTTCTACTTGTTTTTCAAATCCAAATAATTTCATTCTTTAAATGATACAACTAAAGATTTTGTTGTACCACTATCTCTTGTCAAAGCATAACAAAGCAGCAATTAGCTGAAACCAAAAAGATTTCTGATCTGTTGTAGGGCAGCAAGACAATCTCCAAATATTTCTGGATCTCATACTCTGATTTTCTTTCTCTATTCTATCTTGCTATAACTAGAAACTACTGAAAAGAGGCAGCACTTTCGGTACTTAGGAAATTATTTTTCCGTCCAAACACTGTATCTTCCTTTGTCCATAATTATTGATATGCTTTTGTACATCCACATAACCTTAGGATAGACATCCTAGAATTGCATTCTTCTATGACATGTGGCTACTTGTGTTTCAGTAAAAATTAAAAGTAAATAAAATTAAAAATTCAAATCAGCTTTTTAAGTGTTGAATGGAAATGGGCATTTGTTCTAAGAGTTGACACCAGTTAAAGGGCTGACATTGTGTTGCAGTATATGAAGACGCCTCCTGTAATGCCAGACTCCAATGTGGGCACCAGTTCAAGTCCCCCGGCTGCTCCCCTTCTGATCCAACTTCTAGACAATGGTTGGGAAAGAAGCAGAGGATGGCCCAAATGGTTGGGCCCCTGCCACCACGTAGGTGACCTGGGTGCAACTCCTGACACATGGAGTTGGGCTGACTTGGCCCTGACCATTGAGATCTCGGCAGTTACTCAGCATATGGAGGATCTCTTTCTCTGTCACCCTCTCTCTGTGCGCCTGTGTAACTCTTTAATTCAATACATTCTTTGAAATCTTTAAATAAAACCCCTATCAGAGTTTCTGAATAGGAATTCTGGCTCTAGCACCTAATTTCATCTTCCTCCTGATGCACACCCCAGGAGTCAGTAATGGTTTTCTAATCATTGAGTTGCTGCCAGCCACACAGGAGAGCTGGATTGAATTTCTAGCTTCCAATTTTGGGTTGGCACAAACAAGGCCATTGTGAACATTCGGGGAATGAACCAGTGAAGGAGCACTCTTTTTCCCTGTCCTTCTCTCTGCCATCTCAAAATAATTAATTAATTATTTTAAGAGGCTCAATTGTAAATAAATAATTCTTTATAATAATGACAATAAGGCTCTATAGCCACATATACCCATTGACTACCTTAGCTAGTGGCACAGTTATAAACTATCTCCACTACAGCAGAAATGGAGACTTTAGTTCTAGAATCATCAAGTGAAATAGTTATTGAAGTACTTTTAATGAAATTTCTGACAAACATCAACAGATTTTTCTGAATTGAAATATAAATGTCTTCTCAAATCTTCACAGAAAATACTGCAATATTTGTCCAGTTATTCTTTCACATCTCTGAACTGCAAGGGCTTTTTACTTCTTCATCTTTTTAAAAAATATATATTTATTTTCTTTGGAAAGGCAATGAAAGAGAGAGAGAGAGAGAGCAAAAGATGTTCTTTCTGCTAGTTCACTCCCCAAATGGCCTCAACGCCTGGAGCAGAGGGGATTTAAAGCCAGGAACCGGGAGCTTGCCATGAGCATTTTATCTTTTTCATTACTGATATAAAAAATATAAATGTAGGAGTATTTGCTTTTGCTTACAAAAGTTAGATGCGGTAAGAGCACTATCAATACAGGCAAACAGAAGAACCCTGTCGGAGCCATTGGCCAGGTGCATTTCATTATTTTAGAACATTCACTGCCACCTCTACCTGTAAGTCACCACCATCTCCTGCTTGGCTTCCTGCAACAGCTTATTAAATTCTCTGTTTCCTTCCACCCTTACCTTATGTAGTCAATCTCAACACAGTTTCAGTCTAACTCGGATCATCTCGCTCTGTTGAGAACCTTCCATGATTTCCCATTCACTTAGCATAAGACAAAGTCCTCTATGCTGGCTTTTCGCTCCTATGATCCCATTATTCCTGCCCCCTGTAGTTCTTGAAATACACAATGCACACTTCCACCTTAGCTCATTTTCACTTATAATCTATATGCCTTGCGAAGCTCTCCTGAGACGTGGTTTTGATTTCTTTTCTCACCTTGCTAAAATGTTTGAATGTCACCTTGCTAAAATGTTTGAATGTCACCTCAAAAACATTGCCGATGGCTACTTAAAAGTCTCTCTGTCAACTTTCTGAAGTTCATTTTGCCTTTTACTTATATCTCCCACTATCATGGATTTTCAGCCCATGGTAAGATACACGTTTTCTTTACTCATTTGCTTATTTCCTCCTAACTATAGTATGCATAGAGGCAGGACATTTTGGTTGAACTATTAAAACAGTGATTATTCCAGCATCTTCCATGTCATGCATGATGACAATTTCCCTGGGCCAAGAGCACTCAGGGTGTCTTGGAAACATTCAGACCTCTTTCACAGGATATCGCTAGATGCCATGGTGCTGCTTTGGTGTCCTCATATAGATTATTGTGAAAACACTTTCAACAGTTTTCTAGATTCATTTGTGCTGGGGGTTTGGATGTCATGCAGTAGGCGGTGTAAATGTTTAACTGTCAGCTTCCACCTTGGGAAGTAAAACACTACATGCATGCTATAGCTTGTGCCCAGGAGGCCAAACCCTGATGCAAACACTAATGGAAGTACTTATTATCTTCTTTCCTCTTCGAAATAGAAATAGAATATATCACGCATAAAAATCCCTCAATAGTGTCATCTATATTTCATCCAAATGAGCAGAAAATATTTGGCACAACCGATTCAGTAACCAGTGTCCCCGGTAAGTTTAGATACACTGAATAGCAGACTGTCTGATTTTTGCCCAAGCTGTTGTCTTCATTTCTTTACTGAGCCTCTTTTAGCTGTCAGGCGTTGTCCCTGGTGCTAGGGATTGTATGATGCCACCAACAAGATAGTTCTTTCTCTTCTGGGACTGTAGTCAGAGAAATTGGCATTGATCAAACAACTGGATGCATAAATAGAAAAATGAGGCTTGGGGCAAAGGCCACAAAAGAGAAAGAAATGAGGAAACTCTGCAAAGGTATAATAGGATGTGAGGAGATGAAATAACCTAGGGACCGCCTCAATCTAGAAGCACAAGGAAGACTTCCCTGAGCAGGATCCCTGAGATGAGACCTGAAGGTAACAGCAGGAGGCAAGCAGGGGCAGCTGTGAAGAAGCGAGGAGGGGAAGCAACTCTCCGGGCAGAGGACATGTATTTCAAATCTCTGATCACAGAGAATAGCACAGATCCAGCAGAATGGGGCTCAAAGCTTTACTGTAGGCCTTATTACTCATGAGACTCCACATCAGAACAAGCGTCGTTAGAACAAAGAGATCTGCGCCACCTGTGTCATGTACACTGAGGGGAGATGAACCCTTATGGATCTCTAATGGAGGAGGTGTACACCTGCTGGCTTCTTTCAGGCTCTGTCGCTGAGTCTGTGCTCTGGAATCCAGTCAGGCATTCGCACACTCAGTTCTGCTGTCTGGGAAAACAGTAGCTCACTCCTGTTTATAGCAGTAGGTAAACACAGCTGTTATCCCCAGTGTTACAGGAAGATCGTTTACATCATTAGTTTGGGTGGGGGCACTTCTGGTTTTTTACTATCTCTCGTCAGAGAGATTTCCCCAGGGTGCACAATGTGCTTTCTGCTCCGGAAGCCAAGTAAGAAGAGATTTCTTCCACCCTTCCTTCCTCTCCCTTCCCTTCTCCTGCTCTTGTTTCCTTGTCTTAAGTCTTGTCAGCTTGCTCAGATGGTTGAGACCCTGAACGTAAGAGTGAAGATGACAGTTCCAATTGAGACGCTTTGAACCTCTCTTATTCCTGACATACTGGAAAAGGGCAGAATTAGCTTCAAGCTTCATTATTATTATTATTTTGTTTGTTTGAAGCAACAAATAGCCAATGGACCTTGGAGTCATTTCCTGAATCAGACAGAAGTACATATTACTTAGTTCAATGGAGCATGGAATCATTCATAAATACCTTGAAAATATTCCCCCAAGTTAAATGTACTGTAAAACTCCTGGGACAAAATTCTTTTACCTCTCCTATCCTCTCTCCCTCTCTTTCTCTCTTGCTCTTTCCTTCTCTCCACACCTAGGTTTGCATGCACATTGTTAGACTTTTATCCAACTCAGGAAAAGGAATTCAGGGCTCATTAATGAAAAAGAAGCCATCATAAAGGAATCTCGTCTGAATCCATTTTGCCCTCCTCTCCCATTGAAGTGTTTTCCCTCAACCTTCCTCATTTTTTCTCCCTTCCTTATTCTATTGCATTATCTCTTCTGCCTCATCTGTTCCTTCTGTCTCCCACAACTCCCACCAACTTCTGGAGTTTTATTCTGATTTCCTTGTCAGTGCTCTACTGACCATGTTGAATATCCCTTATTTACAACATGGTCATCATAGACCTTTGAGACGCCAAGTAATCCACTAGGTTCATAGGATGTAAAACAGGAAAGATAAGGTGATGACACTCATGAAATTCCAACGGAGAGCATAAAAGGAGCATATGAACAAAAATAAAAATGATGTAAAATAATGTAAAATTGTGAGAAATTGCACAATGGAAAAAATGGAAAGAAAAACTGCACTAAAGGGACATGCAGATGACAGATGACCATATATGAGATCTACATAAGAGTTCTTCATTTGCTTTGTGCCAAGAATCTTTTCAGATTTTGGTGAAATATGTCCATTCTTTCTGAGATCAGTCTTTCAAATATTTTAAATAAGTACATGGAACTACCAACAAGTCAGTTGTATAGAAATGCAGTTCTATTTGTACACCTCTAGGGTGCTGGGGTTCCACAGTCCTCTGATCAGTCTCTTTGTAGTGCATCTTACAGCATTAGGATATTATTTTGGATAGGATAGGGGGTAATGATAAGGTTTGAATGCAAAGAATAATGTAGGATGGCTTATGCTTTTATCACATCACTCTATTCCCTTGTGGAAATACATTTCACGTGGCTATCAGTGCAAGCAGCAGAGCACTGAGGAGGTGGCTGTACTGCTGTGGAGACATGGAATGATGAGCTGGGCAAGTAACTATGGAGACGATTTCCTCAATCGTAGAATCTGTCTATAAAAGAACTTACATCTCCTGAGTGGCAAGCAAGGGCCTGGAAACATGGGAAGAATTTGCATTTTTGCTTGCCTGCTTCCTAATAACATGCAGCCTTAACCAGTAACACAAGTTGAGCACACTCTTTCTGAAATATCCCATAGAAGACTTCAAAGGATTTCTTTATACTCACTTGAGGCAAATATATTTCCAGCAAACTTTAACAGAAGTTGTTCTCCTTCTCTCACTTGGAACTGACGAGATGGTTCTGGCGGACTCCGGAACCCTTCCAGGCGCAGGTTTTTAAGTGCTTGGTTTAAGTCTTTAGAGGGCACCACCAAGATGGCTACTTTGCGTGGATTGTCCTTCTGGTGGGACAGCAATACACAGGCTGTGGTGGTAAGTATGGCTTCTTCTAAAGATTTCACAAAGGAGACTAGATGGCCATTGTCCACAAAGGAAGAGGAGTAGAGCACTATAAACCTACACAGAAGGCAGGAAGCAAGAACTGAAGGGAACATGCAGCCACAAACCCACAACTGGTAGCTGATCACTCCCCCCGCCAGCAAAGACACATGCTTCTATAAACTTCCATTAACTTCAAGAATTTTGATAACCAACTGTTTTGATTCATGAAATATTTTGATGAAAATCAGCAATGAAAACCAGTTAGAGCAAATGAAATCACAAAACATTAAAAATAATAATAATAATATTAGCTGTAACAACAGAAATACATTAAGTATTTTCAAAAAGTTTATGAAAATGCATATTATGGAGTCTGGCATTGCTGCATATTGCCACTGCCTGCAGTGCTGGTATTCCTGTGGGCTCCAGTTCATATTCTAGCTGCTCAATTTCACATCTAGCTCCCAGCTAATTTGCCTGGGAAGCAGAAGAGGATGGTCCAAATCCTTAAGCTCTTGTATTCACATGGCTGACTTACAAGAAGTTCACTCTTGCCATTGTAGCCATCTTTACTTGAACCGGCATTTCAGTTATATGATCTGTGTGTGTGTGTGTGTGTGTGTGTCCCTCTCTCTTTATAACTCGGCTTTTCAAATAAATAAATACATCTTAAAGGTATGTTATGAAAACACTACGCATGTGTTTCTTTTTTGCACGAAAATAAACTTAGGTTTTCAATTACACTTCTTCCATGAACTTTGTCAAGTACATATGTATGTTAAGTTACATTTTTAACAAAGATAAATACATGAAAGTACAGCAGATAAAGATGATCTTCCAGTAGAGTGAAGAATATACACCATAATTAAGTGAAAGTTAAAATATTAATCTTTGTTAAAATTATTCTGATAGACTTTTTTTTTTGGTTGAATTGGGCACATTTCCCCAATTTCTATGTCAAAATATTCACCCTCAGTATCTCCGAATGTAACCTTATTTGTAGATATCGTTTGTATAGAGGAAATCAAGTTAAGTGAGGTCATCAGGATGAGACCTAATCCAATGAAGGCTGGTGTAAGGAAAAGGGGGTTATTTCCACACAGAGGCTGTCATATGAGCATAGGGATAGCCGTGTATAGGCCAAGCAGTGACCTGGGCCAGATATCTGGACACACGGTCCTTGAAAGAACAAGCTCTGCCCACATCATGATATAGGACTTCCAGCCTCCATAACAGCAAGGCATACACTTCAGTGTTTAAACCAAGCAGTTTGTCATAGATTATCATAGCAGCCCTGGGAAAAAACACAGACATCTTTGCCTAGGCTGGGCCACCCATCACCCAATCTTCTTCAGAGAGTAGTCTCGCAGAAGTCTTTGCTGAGAATTTTCTCGCTATAGAAAAGTATGGACTCACCACTAACTCTTCTTTGAGCTGTCAGTCTGGGAGAAGGCCTCAACTGAAACCCTGGTTTTTACTATTCTCCCCTGCTCCACTGCTTCCTTCCTTCTGTGGCAGGATTCATCAGGGAGCCTTCCCTCAAGGAAGCTTTCATTTTCTTATCTAAGGCTCCATTTCTAAGGAACTTGGTCCGAGACAATTGCAGATGTAAGACCTTCCATTACTAAATAAACGTGATCTTTAGATATATGATTGCCATCTTATCATAACTACCTACTCCTAATAAATCTTAAAATTATCTTTAAAATCTCAGATTGAGTTGTCTGTAAAACATGGAAATAAAAAGTAGAATAAGGGCAGTGAGATAAATTCAGGCTATAAATACATAGTTATAAGATGAGCATAGCATGAACAGTTAATTACTATCTCCTTGGGATTTCAGAAATGAAGATGCTATTTTAAAACTATTTAGGAGAAGAAATTTGTAAAAATTCTAAATCATTTGTAGTTGTCATTGTTCAACTGACATGCTTGAAATTACATATACCATATTCACAGCACTTCTGGTTTCCATATTAAACACACCCTGAAGGATAGTTCATATTCCTATCTGAAGAGTAAAAACTTAATCTTGTAGTTCCATTTATGAAAATACCAATTATTGACATCAGAGAGCATATTCATTTTGTTTCTGTACTATTGAAATACCTTTCTAAATGTTCATTTAGTTCAAACGATATCAAACCACTCTGCACGGATCTCACCACAACATCATCAAGCCCAAACCAACCACTGTCTCGGCTTCTGAATCCTAGCAGTTTCAAAGATTCACAGCCACTTTTCCCGAGTTTCCTTAAAGAAGCATTTCTTGTCCTACACAGAGGTAAGAGAGAAGAAAAATTGTGAAAAATAACTTAGCAAACATACATTTAATGTATTCATTCTTTCATTAAGTAAATAATCCAATAACAATTCCTTGAGTTTATAAAATGCTTCATTAATTATATATACTTCAGCATTATGAAAGTAAGAACATATAGGCCTTGCCCTGAAAAGCAGGTGGATTCACAGCCTTATCTGGTTACATTACAAAGTGACTTATACAGTAATTAAAGGAATATGTGGAGTGCAAAAGAAGCAATAACATGGGAGCTTGAAAAGTGAAAATGTAACTATTTGGGAAAATTTGGAGATAATAAATGTACCTACTATTTTCAAAACACTTACAGTTGTAGTTAAGATAATTGGTTAAAGGACAGTGATCTTTAGTTTCCACTTCTGTTTCTTAAATTCTAAAAACAGCAAAATTGAGCCTAGATGGGTAACCATGTTACATAGTACATACAACTAGACTTCTCATGTCTTATGGGTGAGAAGTTAATGTGTAATAAAGACAATTGGACAAGAAAGTTGATTGATTGTCTGCTGTAGACATTGGAATGAGAATGGTAATATCACTTATCTTAAGTAAAACTGTAAGTGCTTTACAAACAGTAGGTACACTTTAGATCGAAACCTTCAAGTGTATGTTGATCTATATTTGAAGGAATAGTTTAATAAAGAAAAGCCCTGGATCAGATGGCTTCACTGCAGAATTCTACCAAATGTTTCAAGAACTTACCTCAATTCTCCAAAAGCCTTTTCAAACAATAGAAAGGGGGAAATCCTCCCAAATTCATTCTATGAAGCCAATATCATCTTAATATCAAAGCCAGATAGACACAACAGAAAAAGAGAACTACAGATTGATATCCCTGATGAACAAAGAAGCAGAAATCCCCACCAAAATACTAGCCAACAGGAACCAATAGTATATCAGGCAGATCATGCACCCAGCAAGGTAGGATTTATCCCTGGTATGCAGGGATGGTCTAATATTCACAAATCAATAAATGTGCTACACCACATTAAAACAATATGATAATCTCAATAGAAGCAGAGAAGACATTTGAAATCACAAAACTATTCAAGGAAAATATAGGAAGCACTCTTCAAGATATAGGAATAGGGAAATTCTTCTTGAAAAAGATACCAAAAGCCCAGGTAGTCAAAGCCAAAATAAACAAATGGGACTACATCAAACTTAAAAGGTTTTGCACAGCAAAGGAAACGTTCAACACAGTGAAGACGCCACCAACAGAATGGGAGAAAACCTTTGCACACTACACAACCAATAGGAAACTAATATCCAGGATTTGCAAAGAGCTTCAGAAACTCAGTAGCAGCAAAACAAATAATCCTGTAAAGAAATGGTGAAGGAAATGAACAGACATTTTTCAAAAGGACAAATTCAAGTGGTTAATAGACTCATGAAAAGATGCTCAAGCCCCCTAAGAATAAGGGAAATTCAAATGAAAACCACATTGAGGCTCCACCTAACTCCAGTGAGATTGGCCTACATTCAGAACTCTACTAAGAACACCTGCTGGTGTGGATGTGGGGGGAAAGGTATCCTCTTTCACTGCTTTTGGGAGTGCAGGCTAGTACAACCACTATGGAAGTCAGTATGGAGAGTGCTAAGGGAACTGAAAATAAACTTGTCATATGACCCAGCTATCCCTCTTCTGGGAACATACACAAAGGAAATGATATCTGCCAATGAGAGATCTGTAAATCCTATATCCACAGCAGCACAATCTACAATAGAAAATACATGGAAATAGCCCAGAAGCCCATCAAAAAAGGAGTGGATAAAGAAACTGTGGTGGGCCCGGCGTGGTGGCGCAAGTGGTTAAAGTCCTCGCCTTGCACGGCTGGGATCCCATATGGGCACCGGTTCTATCCCAGCAGCCCCGCTTCCCTTCCAGCTCCCTGCCTGTGGCCCGGGAAAGCAGTCGAGGACGGCCCAAAGCTTTGGGACCCTGCACCCGCGTGGGAGACCCAGAAGAGGCTCCTGGCTTTGGATTGGCATAGTATCGGCCGTTGTGCTCACTTGGGGAGTGAATCATCGGACGGAAGATCTTCCTCTCTGTCTCTCCTCTCTGTATATCCGCCTTTCCAATAAAAAAATAATAAAAATAAATATTAAAAAAAAACTGTGGTATATTGACTATGGAATACTACTCAACCATTAAAAAGAATGGAATTCTACCATTTGTAATCAAATGGTCCCAACTAGAGAACATTATCCTCAGTGAAATAAGTCAATCCCAAAGGGACAAATATATGTTCTCTCTGATATAAGGCAACCTTCATGAAATGTACAGGACCAAATGCCCTTTCAATACTATTTTGCTACAACTCTGTCTTGTGATATTTTTGCTTTTATTTTCAGTTCTTCAAAATAGTTTCTTATCTATTATTAAATTCTTCAGTGACTCATAGTTCATAGAGTAGTATTGTTTCCTTCAGGAAGGGTTTCTTGTTTTCTTTTTAATTTCTTCATAGACGCATTGATGAATTAGTAGCATCTTATGTAACTTAATGGTATTATAAAAATTTTTAACTTTATTCCTGTCATTGATTTTATTTTATGGTTAATTCATAGAGACTAGAATCATGTGTGGGTCATGCCAGGTTGGGCTCAATACCAGCCAGTCCCTGTACATTCCAGGTTACATTTTGTGAATTGTGGCAATACCCTGTTAATGCTTTCCCAGAGAAATGGCCATAGAATGACAACAACAACAACAGAAAAAGAAAAAAAATTGCTGAAAGTAGTTCAATATTTTGTTTCCATAAGTAGACAGAATATGATAAACATGACATGGGACTTTGAAAAATAGTTGTTATTTTACTTCAAATGAAAAGTTAAGTTATATCTGATTTGGTATTCCACTACATATGACTTTATATTACTAATTACAATCATACAATAAAATCTTCCCAGTATATTATCTTCAATTTAACCCTGTAAGAATTGTCTTCATTGATTCGTTGAACATATTTCACTCTACTCAATGAGTTCAGCCTGTATTGACCATACAGTGCTATTACATTAAGGAGGATATAGCATGTATTTCATCACCTATAAAATTGCTATTTTTGTTAAGTTGTTTCTGTAGAGTGCCATACATATAGTAATCTACAAATAAATTTTTAAAAACTCAGAATGAATCTTCTGAGCATCCTTCCTTACTAACACAAAACAATTAGATCCTGATAAACACACTTTCTGATACTTTGGGGGTGGGTGGGAATGGGGGGAGCGGGAGTGGCAGGCAGGACTCTTGCATAAGTAAAACGCACCCTAAAGGAATTCACCACATCACCTTCCAAGAAACGCACAAAGTCAGTGTTGCATCTGAAAGCCGGCAAGTCAGTGATGATGGGATTAATGCCTTTTCAGTAACTTAGACTCAAAAGTATGCGATTAAGTATTAATCAAGTGAGGAGAACATGAAGCTGCATCCCTTAGCATCAGGGCAATATGGAAAAGGTGAACAGAGACCTGCAGCATGACATTCAAACAAATTAAAGCAGCTCCAGGTAGGTAGCAGCTGTTTATCAACAAAGGCTTTTGAAGAACGACAGGTCCATTTTGCATTTGCAGAAATCCCATAGGTATTTCTTCCCAAATCAGTAAGTACTGTGACTGGCCGTAAACCGGAGCAAGAGGCAACAAGTACAAACACTCCAAAGATACTGCAGCCAGTTCACTACAGGATGACAGCAACTATATATGAAAAGTTTAATGAAATAGGGCCCGGCACAGTGGCCTGGCGGTTAAAGTCCTCGCCTTGAACGCCCCGGAATCCCATTTTGGCACAGGTTCTAATCCCAGCAGCTCCACTTCTCATCCAGCTCCCTGCTTGTGGCCTGGGGAAGCAAATGAGGACAGACCAAAGCTTTGGGACCCTGCACCTGGTGTGGGATACCCGGAGGAGGTTCCTGGATCCTGGCTTCGGATCGGCATAGCATCGGCTGTTGCGCTCACTTGGAGAGTGAATCATTGGACGGAAGATCTTCCTCTCTGTCTCTCCTCCTCTCTGTATATCTGACTTTCCAATAAATAAATAAATCTTTTAAAAAAAAGTTTAATGAAATAAAAGATATTATTCCAAAAATAAGCTGGAAGCAGTAGGCTATTGAAAATGATTTTTTAACCCATGGAGCCATGACACCTGCCCCAAGAATGATTAAGGAAACTGAAATCTGAGCTATGCAGAACATCATAAATAAAAAAGTAAAACAATAACTCAAGTGGTAGACTAAAATATATATGTTCAAATCATAGAATATGAAGAATGTGAAGGAATTTCACGGCAAATTTCTGTTTAATAAGTTTCTATTTAATATTTTTCTTTTTTCATTGTTGTTGAAAAAAATCCTCTCTGGCTCATAATTAAATGACTCACATCTTTTCTCCAGAAATGACTCAGACATAAAAAGATGTCATGCAATATAGAAGATTTCATAATTACTCAGGCTATGCTTTGGCCTTGCGTAATTTTTATATTTTTTTGAAATTTTTATGAAGCATGAATTATTTCATTATGTTTCTCTATCCATTAAAATTTAAACTGTCTTTTACTCATTAATGGAATAATATTCAATAAACAGTTTGACATGGTTCTCATTTGCCTATTTTCTGCTCCATTAGGCAGAGAAAATATATCCTCCATGTACAATAACCATAGAGAATATTATATCATTTTGGCACTGTCAATAAATATAAGTAAGTTAATAATAAAGATTACATTTCTACAAGCTTATTATCTTATTTAAATTGTCTCATGTTTTATAAGCACTTATTATGTTGCCATTGAACTAAATGACAATAAATGGAAAAGGGAAATGATATTATCACCACCATGTTGTATACAACATACAGAAAGATGGGGCTGACACAAAGGGAAGAGCACTCGGTCCCTCCTAGAAAGCTTAGAATGCCTTGACAGAAAAGTTCAAATGCAATTCGCGACATGGGCAGG